TGTGTTAAGTATATAAACATTGTTGTGCAACCAATTTGCAGAACTTTTCATCTTACAAAATTAAACTCTATACTGTTTAAAGGACTCTCCATTCTCCCCTCTCTAACTCCTGGGAGTCACTATTTTACTTTCTGTCCCTAGGAATTTGACTACCCTAGGTATCTCACATAAGGGGAAATCACATAATGTTTGTCTTTTTGTGACTAGCTCATTCACTTAGCATAATGTTCTCAATTTTTATCCATGCTGTTGCACATATCAGAATTTTTTTTCTATTTATGATTGAATAATACTGTGTTGTATACATAGACCACATTTCATTTATCCATTTATCTGTCAATGGACACTGACTGCTTCCACCTTTTGGCTATTGTGACTAACATTGACATGAATATGAATGTACAAAAATCTCAAGACCCTGATTTTAATTCTTTTGGGCATATACCCAGAAGTGGAATAGCTGGATCATAAGATAATTCTATTTAAAGATTTTTGAGGAACTGCATTTCTGTTTTCCACAGCAGCTGCACCATTTCACATTTGCATCAACCGTATACAAGGGTTCTCCACATCCTTGTCAATACTTGTTGTTTTCTACTTTTTAAAATAATAGCCCTGACAATGGGTGAGAGGTGCTCCATCCATACCTCGCTTTTAACCTTGGCTTTACAGGGGTTCTCTGAACAAGGATGGGCTTCAGAAGCTGATTTTTCCAAACACTGCTCCTGGGGAATGGACAGAGTCTTGACAGAGGAGCCTAAGCCCTATACCCAGACCTGTAATTCATTTACTCTTCAGAATTACCCTAATTATTAGTAATTTCATTTCACAGATGGGTAAACAGGTCTGAATGATCAAGCAGTCTGCCTGAGGGCACATAGCTGAAGAACTGGCATTTGGACTGGGCCTCACAGGTGGGGCGGTGGTAAGGAATCTGCCTGCCAATGCAGGAGACACAGAGATATGGGTTCGATCCCTGGGTTGGGAAGATACCCTGGAAATCCTGGTGGGCTACAGTCCATGGGGTTGCAAAGGGTCAGACAAGACTCAGCACTAGCACATACGTCACACCAACTGGGTGTGTAAGAATTGTCATGTCAACATCAGCACTGTACTCTCAGAGTCCAAGGTGAGAACACGCCCTCTCCGATTCTCTTGAAGCAATACAGCCCTGTGGTTCTGCTCAGCTGCTTTCCACCCGCACCCCCAGCTGTTCCGGTGCCTGTTGGGCTGGATGAATAGGAAACAAAGCAGGTTGCATTTATTATTTAACCAAGCTCCCCAGCGCACCTGTTATGACACTGGGTGCTGTTTATAACTGCAATAAAATGCGCGGTCCCCAGCATTAGAGGATTTACAAGAATTTCCTTAAATTCCAAACCTCAGAGTGAGGGAGGGGCAGGTGTCAGCCAGCTGGGGTTCTTTGAGTCGACCTGCTTGCAGAGAAATACGATGCATTGGGCTTGCCTTTGCCTGACCTCTGTGCAAACAGCAGCAGTTTAAAGCCTTCTCCCCTTGCGGTGACTGGGTGGGTCACTCAGCCGCACCGTGTTCTGTACAGAGGGACCAAGCAGGAAGTAAGGCAGGATAGGCCGCCCCAGATCCCAGCTGGATAGAACTAGTCCCACCTGACCCATACTTGAAGAGTCAGTCAGCTTGTTCTACCTGAACGTCTTTGTCCTGGACACACATATCTTAACTGCACCCTCACGGATTACTGATCAATCAAGGCACAGCCTTAGTAGACGCGGTGAGAACTTGCAAAGGTGAATACACCGTGCATTCTGACATTTGCCTCCCAGCAGCAGCTTAACCCTGCCTGCCTGTCTCTAGGGCTGTTATGCTGTCCACTTATTTCAGAAGTGACCGTCATACTGTGACCAGGTCACAGAGGGGCCAGAGTTCAGCCCAGGGAGAGTGGTGCCCTCAGAGAAGAAGGGGAGAAGGTCTAAGAGGAGCTCGCAAGCCCAGCTCTCAGGAGCCATGTGGAATGAGAAGGAAAACAGTGAGGGGAAGGCCTGGAGCCTTGACTGGAAGGAAGTTCACTGGAGGTCTTGAAGCCACAGGATGCTTTCTTGGTAAGGTCCACAGCTGATTTGGTTTGGACAAAAATTGCACAGATATCACAGCCCGTGAGCTAGAAAATGAGACGAGGGAAATGCAAAATTCTGTTGGAGACATAGAGGAGTTTGTTGTGAGCTTCTATACAAGAGAAACAAGAGCACAGAACACATGGTGGGTTGCAAAGCAGGGCACTGGCTATGGTTTCAATTTATCAATAAAGTATCTATTAAAATCTACTTTGTGCAGGGCTAATGGGAGTTTTTAATGTGAATGCAACCCTGAAGATGTATGCTTTTAAAAGATCACATCTTCATGTTTAGAGGCTCTATGTGTATATTTGAATGGTTGAAAGCTCAGATCCTGGTCTCAGAGAGCTTGAGTTCAAGTCCAGCTTCACATGTACCCTGTGAGTTTGTACGAATGGCTTACTTCCTATAGTTCTGTGTTTAATCTGTAAAAAGGGGTACAGTGGTCCTCACTGCAGAGCACCAGACACACTTATATGCCACACTGCTTGGCCCAGAGTGAGCACTCAATAGAAGTTGGTGATTATTACTGGATTTCAAACCAGCGCTAATAAAAAAGCAGAGCAGTGCCTACTGTGTGCAAGGCAATGGGTTAAGTTATATGTGTGAGTTTGTAATAGTTAATCCTTATGACTACTACCCAGGCAGCTATTATCCCTGTGTTACAACTGAGGAAGGGCAGACACGGCATCCCAGGTGGAGGGCTTGCCCTTCCATCCATCAGACCAAAGCCAGGTGAACTCCTGGCAAATGGTGATGCACACATCCCTTTGAATTGGGTCTAGACTTACTGGAGGAAGTCCAGTAAGATTCATCACTGAGAATTCATCACCCCTAAGCTGGTTCAATGGGATGGAGTTGGATCTCTTTAACTCCAATGACTTCCTCTTTCTTGTCATCAGAACTGCACCAAGGTGCCTGAATCTCCCTAGACATGCTTTTTGCTGCATCCACAGTGGCTCCCCAGAACGCCCAGCAGCCCTGAGGTTCTATGGAATTAACGTGGAGGGAAAGGAGGTTGAGGCAGGGACATGGAGTGAGAACAACCACTTCATGGAAGGATTAGCTAAGTGAATCAAAGGAAGAAGGAAAAGGACACCCATCTTGTTCTAAACGCGTTCTCATACAAGCTCGGGTGTCTTCACATTCAGCTCCTGTTCAGATCTAGTGATTCAGTAGGACCTTAGTCTCGGAAAGGACTCAGGGACTGGCTGGCCCAGCCACACTCTTTTACTGATGGCTCAGAAAGGCAAGTACCATAACCGGGGTGACATGGCTAGCTGGTGACAAAATTCAGACTAAAACCTTGGTTTCCTCATTCCCGGTGCAGTGTTATTTCCAGCCTCCTCATATGGCTCTTAAATTGCTCATTCTCCAGACCCCTCCCGTAAGACTTTGTCCCTGGCCCCAGAGCAGCAGACCCTTTGGATAGCAGCTGGAACTTCAGGGAGAAGCAGGAGAGGGGGCCTGTCCTGCGGGTTTATTTCCTTCATTGCGATGGGACCAATCAGAATCAGAGCATTAGTGTGTAGAGTGTGCCTCAGTGCTGTCTAAACCAGCACTGAATACTAACCAGCGTGCTTAGATGGAGCTAAAAATAACTGGCTAATCACCACCAGGAAGAATTAACAAGGACTCAGAAGAAAGGAAAATGTCTTAATATTCCATCTCACTCCAGCTGGGCTCCGGCTGGGGCCAGTCTCCTTCTGCTGCCACAGGGCAGGTAATTAGGCAGCACAAAAGCTCCAACACTCATGGGCTCTGGGAGGGGGCCTGCCACAGCCAGCAGGAGGGTAAACGGAACAGGACTACTCGGGGTGAGGTAAATCAGAAAACAGTGAACCACAGAAGAAATGCGATGCGACAGGAGGCAGGTTTTGAAGGGTAAAACAGCTGTGGCATTTTATACCCCTTCTTCTTGGGAGAAAGTAAAATCCCTAATTAAAAGGGAAGCATCATTTTATTCTGCTCCGTAAACCCTCCGACAGTCTTCCCTTCCCCAGAATGCCTAGTTCTGAAAGCATCAGTGAAGTCTATGCCCTGGGGACTGTGTTGAAATGAGGTCTTCCTGGCAGTTACCGCTTTGGACAAGGACCAAGGTGGACCCACAGTAAACTGCTCACTGGCTTGGAGCAGAGCATATGAATAAAACCATAAAAGGCAAGATTTGAACTGATTCCTTCAAATAACCTGAAAGAGTGGGAATGGGGAACATTATTGCAACTTGGAAGAGATCAGTTCATGAGAAATAAAAAGAGAAATAGCATTTTGTAGAGGGCAGGGTAATATTCAAAGAGAACCCCTTCTTCTTGGGAGAAAGTAAAATCCCTAATTAAAAGGGAAGCATCATTTTATTCTGCTCCGTAAACCCTCCGACAGTCTTCCCTTCCCCAAAGTGCCTAGTTCTGAAAGCATCAGTGAAGTCCATGCCCTGGGGACTGTGTTGAAATGAGGTCTTCCTGGCAGTTACCGCTTTGGACAAGGACCAAGGTGGACCCACAATAAACTGTGCACTGGCTTGGAGCAGAGCATATGAATAAAACCATAAAAGGCAAGATTTGAAATGATTCCTTCAAATAACCTGAAAGAGTGAGAATGGGGAACATTATTGCAACTTGGAAGAGATCAGTTCATGAGAAATAAAAAGAGAAATAGCATTTTGTAGAGGGCAGGGTAATATTCAAAGAGCTTACTTTATCTGAAACATATAATGGGTTTAAATAAATAAAAATTGATTTAAAAAATTCATGAATGACAGGTACACTATTAAAAAGCAACTGCCAGTGAGGAGCTGTTTGGGGGCACATCAGAGCCATTTGATTTAATGTCATAGCCAGAGTTCTTACTGATGTTTCCCCCAGCCCGTGCGTGTGGCAAGGGCAGATGCTGTGTCTGCTGGGTGTAAGAATAAGACACAGGGTGATATAAGCGAAGAATGTGGATTAAAAGAAAAAAGGAATGTGGACTTTGAATGCAGAAGGTGGGGTCAGGTCCTGCCTTACCAATTTCTAGCTGGATCATAGCTTAGCTTGATTTAGCTTGGCGCTCCAGGTCTTTCTTCTCTCACCTGCAGAGAAGGATGATAGGAATATCAATTTCCCTGCAGGGAGAATCAAACCACCTGACACAAGTGATAACACTTCATTCATTCTAATGCTCAGTACAAATAGTAATGACTTAGGCAATGAAAAGAGATGGATGTGAACTGGCCAGGTTTGGCCAATTTTCCTGATGCACAGATCAAGGAAGCATTTAACTGCTCAGTGCCTGTACCCACTTCCTTTCACAGTCCTCCTTGACTAGGTGGCTGTCAGCATCTGACTTTTAAAAAATAATTTTATTTGTTTATTTATTTTTGGCTGTGCTGGGACTTTGTTGTTACTCAGGCTTTTCTCTAGTTGCAGAGAGCGGGAGCTACTCTAGTTGCAGAGTGAAGGTTTCTCGTTGCAGTGGTTTCTCTTGCAGAGCACAGGCTCTAGGGTGCATAGGCTTCAGTAGTTGAGGCTCCTGGGCTCTAGAGCACAGGCTCAGTAGTTGTGGCGCGTGGGCTTAGCTGCTCTGCGGCATGTGGGATCTTCCCAGATCAGGGATTGAACCCATGTCTCCTGCAATGGTAGACGGATTCTTTACCACTGAGCCATGAAGGAAGCCCAGCATTTGCCTTCTTCTGCTGTTTATTCCAGCCCTGGGGCTCTAGTGGTTAGGCGCACCACTGCCATGGCCTGGAGGAAGAGGGCTATTGCTGAAATGCAAGTCAGCAGAGTTCTGGAAGTCTCTGAGTTACTTTCCCACAGTCTGAGAAAGGTCCCATCCTGCTGCCTGAGTCACACTGTCCTCCCCAGGGAGGAGAGAGTGACCACAATGGAGACAGAAAGGCTTTGGAGGGCCCTGCCTGGAGCACGAGGGAAGGGCAGACCTAGAATTTTTTTTAAATCTACTAGTCTGAAGTTGTTCCAGCTCCAGACTAGTAGATTGGGCAGGGGGCAGGGGGGCAGAAAGGGCAGTCTTTATCTGACAATATTCAAAATTCCTAAAGAGCATGATGGCATTGAAAGAGAAGATAGCAGAAATCAAAACACTAAAATGGCAGCTGTGTCACCTACTTGGTGTAGGATACCATCAAATGACTGAATGACTCTGAGCTTCATCTGAGAAAGAGCAAAAGGAGGACTTCCCCGGTGGTCCAGCCATTGGGAATCTGCCTGCCAATGCAGGGGACATGGGTTAAACCCTTGCACAAGAAGATTCCACATGTCACGGGGCAACTAGGTCCATGTGCCACAGCTACTGAGCCTGTGTGCTACTGCTGAAGCCTGTGCGCCCTAGAGCCTACAAGAGAAGGCACCATAATGAGAAGCTTGCGCATGGCAACCAGAGAGTAGCCCCTGCTCCCCACAACTAGAGAAGGCCCATGCACAGCAATGAAGATCCAACTCAGCCAAAAATAAATACATAAAAATTAAGACATTTTTACAACGGAGCAAAAAGAAACCTGCCCTGTTGCCTCTCAGGACTGCTATGGGGTTCACTGGAGGAAATTTATGGGAAAGAAAGTTATGAACTATATCATCATGTTCAAATGAGAATTTAATCCATTATTTCAGCTCCTGGGTAGATGATTATTAATAACATAGCTTGAGTTAGCATAACATTTGTTCTTTTTTTTGGTCAAGGTTATTAAAGTATAAATTAGTGCATAAATGTGCCTTTTTCTAGTGAAGTTATAGAGCAGTTCCACCACCTCCATCATTTCCTTAAGCTTCTTTGTGGTCAACTGCTCTTCCCACTCTGAGTCTTTCTATTCCTATAGCTTTACTTATTCCAGAATATCATATAAATTGAATAATACAGCATGAAGCCTTTTGAGTCTGGCTTCTTTCACCTAGCATAATGCATTGAGATTCATCAAAATTATTTCATATATTCATTAGTTCATTCCTTTCCATTGCTGAGTAAGTAGTATTTCATTGTATAGATATATCATGGCTCCTTTATCCATTTGGATTATTTCCATGAATAAACTACTATCAACATTTTTTTCTAACAGGTTTTTAATGTGAGCATACATTTCTATTCCTCTTGGTCAAATACCTAGGAGTGGAACTGCTAGATCATATGGCAAGTTGCTTGTCTAACTTTATAAAAAAAAACTGACAGGTTTTTCAGTTTCTGCAGAACTTTGCATTCTAGCATAACGCTTTAAAAAAACTTTAAAAAATAATCCAAAGTCTTCATGTGTCCAGTTTCATTACCCAAATAGCTCTGTGAGAAAGGGCAGGTAAAATATTGCTGCCCTCCTGTAATAGAGGGGGATGTGAGGCCTAAAAAGGAAAAATTATTGATTAAAGTTTGCTATAGAGGAGGCTGCTATGTCCCCAGTATGTATCTTCTCCCCTTCTTCCTTGTAGTAGAGACTTGTGCTTCCTGCTGAGTTTTGACTGAGCACAGGGTACCCATCAAGAAACTACATTTTCTTTGGAAAAATATCCCATGCTTTTGGATTAGAAGAATTATTACTGTTAAAATGACCATAGTACCTAAAGCAATCTGCAGATTTAATGCAATCCCTATCAAACTACCTGTGACATTTTTTTGCAGAACTAGAATAAATAATCCTAACATTTATATGGAACTATAAGAGACACAAAGCAATTCTGAAGAAAAAAGAATAAAGCAAGAGGCATAAACTCCCAGACTTCAGACAATACTACCAAAGCTACAATAATCAAAACAGCATGGTATTGGCACAAAAACATATACAAGTATCAATGGAACAGGCTAGAGAGCCCGTAAATAAACCCACATACCTATAATCAATTACTCTTCAAAAAAAGGAGGTAAGAATATATAATAGGGAAAAGCAATCTCTTGAGAAAGTGGTGCTGGGAAAATTGGACAGCTGCATGGAAATCAATGAAGTTAGGATATACCCTTACACCATACACAAAAATAACCTCAAAATGGCTTAAACATAAGACATGACACCATAAAACTCCTGGAAGAAATCATAGGCAAATTATCCTCTGACATAAATTATAACAATACTCTCAAGGCATAGAAATAAAAACAAAAATAAACAAATAAGAACTAATCAAACTTATAAGCTTTTGCACAGCAAAGGAAAGCATAAACAAAATGAAAAGACAACCTACAGAACAGGAGAAAGTATTTGCAAATGATGTGACCAACAAGGGCTTAAACACCAAAACATGCAAGCAGCTCATACAACTCAACAGCAACAAGCAAACAACCCCATGGGCAGAAGACCTCAATAGACATTTCTCCAAATAAGACATATTGATGGCCAATAGGCACATGAAAAGATCCTCAGCATTGCTAATTATTAAAGAAATGCAAACCAAAACTATAATGAGGTGCCACCTCATACTAGTCAAATGGCCATCATTAAATTGTCTACAGATAACAAATGCTGGAAAGGTGTAGAGAAAAGGGAGCCCTCCTACCCTGTTAGTAGAATGTAAATTGGTACAGCCACTATGGAAAACAGTATGAAGATTCTGCAAAAAACTAAAAATAGAATTACCATATGATCCAGAAATCTCATTCCTGGGCATATATCTGTACAAAACTATAATTTAAAAAGATGCATGCACCTCTATGTTCATTGCAGGACTATTCACAATAGCAAAGATATGGAAGCAACTTACATGTTCATCCATAGATGAATGGATAAAGAAGATATGATACATATATACAGTGGAATACTACTCAGTCATAGAAAAGAATGAAATAAGGCCATTTGAAGCAACATGGATAGAACTAGAGATTATCATACTAAGTAGAGTAAGTCAGAAAGAGAAAGACAAATACCATATGATATCACTTATAAGTGGACTCTAAAATATAATAAAAATAAACCTATCTATGAAACAGAAGTAGACTCCAGACATAGAGAACAAACTTGTGGCTGCCAAAGAGGAAAGAGGGTGTCAGAGGGACGGACTGGGAGATTGGGATTAGCAGATGCAAACTATTATAGTAATGGATTACAATAAGATTCTACCATATAGCACAGGGAGCTATATTCAATATCTTGAGATAAACCATAATGGAAAAATATATTTAAAGGTATATATATATGTGTGTGTGTGTGTATGTGTGTGTGTGTGTATATATAATTGAATCACTTTGCTGTACAGCAGAAATTAACACATTGCAAATCAACTACAATTCCATATTAAAAAATATAAAAAGAAACTTCATTTCCCAGCTTCCGTGGCATTAGGAGACCATGTGACTGCATTTGGCCAGTGGGAATTGAGTGAGAGTGATATATGCCAAGTCTAATTCACTTCCTAAAAACTGGATTTGCTAACTTTCTATATCCTCTATTCCCTGGCCTGCTGACTGGTTAATGGGTATGGCAGCAACTCACTTGGACTTGAAGATGAAGGCAGTATAATATGGAAGAAACCTGGGTCCTTGATCGACATCATGGGACAGAACTGTCCCAACAGACAGGGCCATCCAGATTGCTGTGTGTTTCTTACTTACCCCACTGTCACTCTAGGGCCTCTTTCGTACCATAGCTTAACGCTGACCTGAGCTAATCTAGTCTCACACACCAGATATGTGGGAGTATAGTATAACCAGTTCACCCTGCTTCCTCAATCTCATGCAGAAGGTTATTTATATAAAATCAGCTTTGCTGAAATCTAGATATACCATCTTTATATCAATCCTTTGATCAACAGTTTGATAACTGCTATCAAAGGAAAAAGTGAGTCTAGGGAGTGGTTTAATGTATTCTCCATGAAGCCTCATCAGCATCCAGTGATCATCTCTTCTCATCTTCCACATCCCATGTGTTAGGCCCACTGGACGATGGTGAGAAGGTTTATCTTATTCATGGAGAACTGCATGTGAAGGAGCAGCAGGACCTGCAGTTGCTAGACACGAGGACGGTTCCTAAAAGACATCTGAGGCACTTGGACTTCATGGATTAAGCAGAGGCAGAAGATCCTTACAGGGGACTGAGGAGATAAAAATGCAGTGTGCAGAAGTGGCTTGTGGAAGCTGCTCAGTGAGAAGATGGGAGAGGAGGGG